CAAACAACCTCTATACAACGAAAGGAGACTGCGACCATACAAAAGGCCACACCATCTTGGTCTTCATACCCTGCTAAGCTTTTGTCCATCGTATGACAAAAATCATCAGAGCAGGATATCATTCGGGCTCATACTACGGCAAGCCGAGATCTTCTTCGCACAATTCGCAATGTTAAAAAGTAGACAGTAAGGGAACCTGTAAAAGTGTATGGTTGAGATAAATTAGGCGTAAAATAACGTGGGGAAATGGAAAAAATAATTAATATTTACAGCTCGTCCAGTAAAAGAAACCTACCCGCCTAAGGTCTTGCCAACCTCAGCCAAAGTGACATAATTTAAAGGGAACCAACCTGATAACTGCGGTTTGCCCTCATGCGCAAGAAGGCCACGCCACCACCCATCTGAACTTTTCTCAAGTACACGGATGTAATCGCCACGCTGGATTGATAGCTCGTCAGGCTGACTCGCTGCATACGCAAACCGGACCGCACATATTTGTCTGGAGCCAAGGCAAGAAAAGCCTACCCTAAAACCGGAGCATCCAGCCACAGCAGTACCAGCAACTCCCATACCTCCACCAGTTGTAGGAGAACCAAGGCCTTCAAGAAAGCCGCCAGCGGGAGTGTATCCTCCCTCTGAAGTGCTCATGATAATGTCAGCGTCTAAGGGGCTTCAATATAAAACGCATATATCGACATATATAGACTATATTAATATTGTAGGAAGACAGATTTTATATTCCATGTACTTGAGCGACGTCTGAACATGTGATGCATAAGCTGGTAATATCCTCATTGAGTATCTATGACGCATATTCGCCGAGTTTTTTTGATATAAGTATCTTCTACGAGTATCTTTTACAAAGTAGTGATTGATAACTCGTCAGAGGATTTATCACCATCCGAAAGCTATCTAGCTTTCCTTAAAGCTTAGGTGGATATATCAGAAACCGAGGATCAGTTTGTGGAAAAAATGGTATATGGTATATAAGGATAATAGACCACGTCAAAATGTGCATAGAGTACTATTTCGGCAGCTAGTATAGTCGCTAAAAGACAGTTAAGCAATGGACATGGTACATTCTCAAACGTTTCGCCCGCATCGTAGTCGGCATCATCAGTGAGTGCTGTCATTCTCCGCACTAAGTTGGGAACTCGTCCAATTTGTCTACCCTGTAATGCTGCGTCGGTAGACTTGTGAAAAGAGTTTATTTTTGTTTGACCTTGTTTTCGCAACATGGTCATATTGGTATGAAGAGTTAGAGGAACGCACCTAGTCCGGGGTCCATTGTTTGCATGATCATTTTCAAAGTTGAACCGTGGACGTGGTACATTCCCAAACTTTTCGCCGGCATCGTAGTTGCCATCGTCAGTGAGTATCGCCATTCTTAGCACTACACTCAACTCGTCAAAGAGACAAGTGAAGCCGATCCTTTGACCAAACTTGTGCTAAACAATTGTGGTATCTCCCCTCGAATTAGTCACCCAGACGCAGGTGAGGGCGAATATTGCTTCGAGTAAAACAGATGTGATGGCAGGAGTCGAGTGAAATAGGCGATCAAGGGGTAGAGCACACGAATTTTATGGAGCAAGAAAGAGACTGTGATAAGACTAGGTAAGAGGATTGCATAATACTAATAAAGCAGACTCTGATCAACATTCCCTGCACAAGGATAAAGGGTGGGTGGGGGGTGAGAACGACAGTTGGAGTGTGAAGGTGTCATGTCACTCAAAGGAGCACACCACACTATCTAAATAAAC